GTATACCTATGTCATTATTAGATTGATACTCAGTGTTTACATTATTTTGACCAAATAAATATTATTCACACCTCTGTTGTATAATAAATTCTGATCACTTCCCTAAAGAATATTTTGCTCTCTCTGGAGTTAATCATTGTCACATTTTTCATTTGCCTAGGTTTTCCTATGCATACGTCACTAATATAATCCCTACTCTTCTCCAGTTGTTTGTCTCCTCTCAACATGTTCAAACAAATTCCGTATTCAATGAATTTCATCTTAAAGAAAGTTTTTCCAAAACCTTCTGATCTGTTCCTATCTGGGCTGGTTAACCTCTAGATTTGCTATACAGCTGTCAGCGTGGGATCTCCTTTCACCACATCCTGGGGATTCCCTTTGCCTCTTGTGTTGAATATCTAGTTCTAGGATTCCACCTCTTCCTCTTTCATGATTCACTCCATTGTTTTGGTGGAGCACATCCTCCAGTAGTTTCCTAAGAAAGAGTGCAGGGAAGACATGACATATGCCATCAGCGCCCTGGCCATATTCCCTTGCCGCCTACCATATCCATGCACTCTAAGTTACCAGCACAGATGTCTCTTTGCCTGAGGGCTTTTTCTGGCCACTGAAGGTTTGCTCTTGAAATGTTGGGGGATTAACTTCCTCCTCACTGGGAGCAGCCCTTAACTAATGACTGATGAGAGCTGGTAGATAAATACCCCAGCTTCCTCAGCCCTGAGTGGGGATAACTTTGAGGCTTTGAGGCATGATTTCTACACTGGTCTACCAGAGTTCCCTAAAGGAATCAAGTTCCAGGTGTCCACAGTAAATTGCTGGATATACTGGCTTCCTTGTTTCACTTCCCCACTGCCCTACAGGTGTTTCCTGGGATCGTCTCCTAGATAAACTACTTTTGCTCTTATATCTTCTATTTTCCATCTCTTATCTTTTTGCTTTACTTGCTGCTTTCCAAATCTTCTACTGAGTTTTATTTCTGCAATCATATTTAAATTTTTAAGATCTCTTTTTTGTTCTCTATATGTTCCTCTAAAAAAATAGCATTCTGTTCTCATTTCACATATGCACTAGCCCTTCTTATTTCTCTGAGAATACTAATATTTTTTTGTTTTCTTTTTCTCTCAGAGATGCTGCTGTTTCCAAATGGTCTTGAGGGCATTTCTCCCCAGTGTGTCAGGTTCCCAAGGAACGCTTGCCTAACCTCCTGGATGTCAGGGTTGTGTGACTTATGTAAGGGAGGAAGGCAAGGGGTCTCTAGGTAATCTCCTTTTTTTTCAGAATGTTGTCCTTTCACATGCCTGTGTCTGGTCCTCTCTCTATCTTACTCTCCCACTGAAGAAAAACCTCCGTCCTTTGGCCATTGTGAGGAAGGGGCAGTCCACCCGACAGCAGCAAGGGCAAGAGGGGGTCTGGGGACCTCATTGCTTCTTGAACTGACTTTCAACTCATCCCATTGTTTTTAACCACAACTTTACTAGCAAAATACTCACAAAAGTACCTGGTGCCGCCAATTGCTGAGCACATGGAGGATTCTGAAATGTAAAGCAAGTTGCTTTAGCTTTCTTGTCTGCTGGCTTAGAATTCAGCTGTGTCAGGTTTCTTGATTCAGTTACTACTCACTCATCTACATTCCAGCTTTTAAAATTATCCTGCTGTGTCCCTTTCAGATTTTTTTTGTCCTTACATGTTTTCCTTTAAAAAAATCCACTTACCTAACTTCTTATTTGCTTACATACGCATAAAGAAACTCTGAAAACACACATTAAAAAACTAGTAATAGTGTTTACTTATGGACAGGAAGAAGGTGGGACCTGGGCCAATGGGAGACATGGATGAGGGAAACTTTTTGCTCTGTGCCTTTTTACATTTTTTGGTTTAGAACCATGTGAATGTATTACTTCATCAAACATTAACTTTTGGTTGAGTTCTAGGAGGGAGTGGAGCACAATGCATGTGTTTAATCTGCTGTCTTTAACCAGAAATCTCAAGTGTTGTTTTTCTAAATTGCAGCTTCAATGTTGAGACTGTAAGAAGCTTCCCAACTAAAAGCCGTTCTAAGCAATTTCAGAGGCCGTAAGCAAAAATATGGACAAATTTGACTCCACAAAAATTAAAAATTTCTGCCAGACAAAAAACAAAAATCAAATAAAATAAACAAAATCAGAAGACCAAAAACAAATTGGGAAAAATACTTGCAACAAATATGAAGAAGGACTAGTTTTCTTAAAATATAGAGTTCTTGCAAAAAAATTAAAAACAGATCAAAATCCAATAGAAAACAATAGGCAAAGAACATGCATAGACACATAGGTAAATAAATACAAATTGCTTTTAAATATAAGAAAAATGTGCAACCTCATTCATGGTTTAAAGAAGAAACGTTAAAACAAGAAACCATTTTTCACCTATCAGAATGGCAACATTATAAAAATCTGATAATACTCATTGGTGAGATGAGGATGTGGGGAGAGATGAAGGCTAAAACATTTTAGCAGGATTAAAATCGGTGCAGTCTCTTTGTACTACAGTTGTAACTATCAAAATTAAAGAGTTATACTCTTTGACCCAACAACTTCACTGCCAGAAATTTAGCCTATGAATCTGCTTGCATTGAGCATTGAGACATATTTAAGAAATATTTACAAGGATGCTCACTACAGTCTTACTTGTAGTCATCAAAACTGTAAGCAACCCAACTGTTCACAGTAGGAGACTGGATACACAGATTATAGTATATTCGTTCTACATACTGCATGGAATTCTAAGCAGCTACTAGAAAGAATGAGGCATCGTTATATTTACGGAATTATCTTAACATGTATTGTTAAGTTTAAAAGCAAGATATGGAACAATGTGTAAGGAATGACCCCATTGCTGTGTTTAGTGGTTTTTAAAGTGTTTTTTCTTAGATACCTAGATATGCTTACATACACACAGAATATCTCTGGAGGAATACATAAAAAACTAGCAATTGTGGTTACCTCTTGAGAGGGGAACTGGGAATAAGAGGTCAAGTAAGGGAAAGAGACTTGCTTTTTTTTCTTAAACACATTTTTTTTCCCTTTTTTAATGAAGTGCATGTTTTAAAACAATAATGGGTGCATTAGTCAGGTTTGGTTGCAAGCAACAGAAACAAACTCTGGTTAATTTAAGCAGAAAATGAGTATATTAAAGGATACTGGGTAGCTCACAGGCTTTCCAGGTGGAATAGAGACCCAGGTTTAGAGGCTACATATCCAGAAATGACTTCTAGAATTATGCTGCAGAACAACCCCGTGAAGACACCAATGCCTACACTGCATGGACATCATCGCTGGGACAGTGGACACCTCAAATGCGGTTGCTGATCCTTGCTGCTAGAACCACTACCACTGAAGCATCTGGAAGCTGAATGTGAACCACTACCACTGAAGCATCTGGAAGCTGAATGTGGTTGTTGCAACTAATCTGCAGAGCAGATCCAGCAGTCTTTGCTGTTTGAGGTCACTAGCTCCTGAGTCAAAGTCCAGTGCAGATCCTGATACCTGTGCATAGCTGCAAGGAAGGCTGGAAAATAAGTATCTGATATTTTCAGCTTCTGTAGTGGGAGGTTGTCTCTGTATCCATCAAGGCCCATAAGGTTAGGAATGTCCCAAATATAGAGAATTAGATAACTGAGGTGTAGCAAGGGAGAGAGGGGTAGGGAAGGAAGAAGGAGTTTCCCATTAATTTTCACTTTGCTTTGGAAGAAAGTAAGAAATTCTCTCCTGGCTCCCATCTGGCATACTCACTTTCCTAGCTGAGTCTTTACATGCACGGTATTCAGAATCATAGGTCTTCAGAGTAGAAAGGTCTCTACAGGTCATTTGGTTTAACAACCTTATTTTATGATGGAGAAGTTCAAACTCAAGTTAAGTTTGGGCAACTCAAGATGCCCAATATTACCCAATGAGAGTTTTTGATGATGTGATTAATTTTTGATGATGTGATGATATGATTAGCCTCCCAGTCTGGGCCCTAGCCTCCACAGAATCTTTATGCGTAAATAGTACTTTAGCAAGAGCTCTAATAAAGTTTCAAGATACAGATTTGTTTCCGGGAAAGCCTGTTCTTACAGGCTTTCAAATGGCTGGTGCCATTTGTTACAAATATTATTGAAACATTTATATAGGATTTTAAAGTTTATTTTTAAAACAATTTTGTTTTTAATTACTAAAATGGTTTATTTATTAAAAATGAGCAAGCAATATTGAAAGATTTAAAGTAAAGGGTAAAATTGCTACTCTTATCCCAGCTTTCCTACTCCTTAGAAATAATCAGTGTTAAAAGTATGGTATCTCTCAGTTCTTTTTCTGTATATATACACATACATTTATATGTATTTATAAATATATGTAAGATGTATACAATCTTTTATAACTTGCTATCTCACTCTATATGTATAGTGGACATAACTGAGACTTGACGTGGCTGCATGCCAGTAAGTTACTGGCAGGTTGGTAAGCCCCACATGGAGACACAGTGTCTGAGGAGGGGATGTCATGCACCGTGGAAGGCTTGGTGGTAAGGTGATATTTTTGATCCAGTGAGCCTCATGGTATAAATCATCTCAAGTAGAAAACTACCAACTTTACCTATATTCAGGGCTGCTTCAGACATGAAGAGATCTCCAAAATCCTCTGGTCCAACCTCATTTCTAGGTAAAGAGCTATTTTCCTGGGAGGAGATGAGGAGAAGGTGGTTAGGGGCCTGGCCCAAGATCACCCAACCAGGAGAGTGACAGAGTTGGGGCTTCTTTCTCCAAGACCTTTGCTCATTGCGTGGTGTTCTGTTGCTTTCTGCAGCTTTAAGAGGGAGAGGGAGGGCAGTGCTCAGGTGAAAACATTCAGATGCTCAGACCACACTTGATTTCTCAGACAGCAGTGCTGGTGCTCCATGCCTGACTTTGTGCCATGAGTTCTTCCATTACCTTTTACTTTTGCCTGCTGTGTGCTTTAACCCTACCACTGATTATTTTCTTTAGGACTACCAGTCTTGTGCTTTTCACTTTTCTCATGGCACTTTACACTCTTTACTTCTCAAACATAACTTTATTATTTGCTCAGGTTTGGCTGAATATGTCTTTGAACAAGACATAGTATTAGATGGATGACAAAAAGTGGGGAAAAAACAAAGAAAGACAACCAAGTTCATATAGAAGCCAAATTCATTTATTTGGGGAGTGGTCATTTAGTGCTAGATAATGAGGAATGAGGTGGGGTACAAATTAGAACAAGACATATTTCTTGCCCTCGAGGAGCTTATTTTCTAAAACACTTACCTCCAAACTCTCCATCATGCCACTCCATCAAAAATATTGAGCATGCATTCCCAATAATTGCACATTTATTATAAACTATATATGCTCTACTATAACTTTTAAATATTGGTAAAGCTTAATTTTTTTAGTATTTTAGATTAAAGAATAAATAGAAACTACTGTTCACATATTTTCTTCCCACACCTCAGTGTATCATCTTGGGCACCCCACTTTGGAGCCCACTGTTCCAACAGGGGAATCAGATGGATACCCAAAAATACTATAACACAAAGAGTGTGAAGAAGGCTCTAATATCAGGGTAAGCAAATTATTCTTAGAACATCAAAAAGCATTGCAAAAGGAAAGGAAAGTTGAGAATATTCGAGGGCTCCTGACCTAGCCTCTGAGCCCAGCTTCTCCGGGCTTGGGCTAGGGATTAATGCCAGGCTTCTCTGCCTAGGCTGGTGTCTGTGCAAAGACTGCTTGATGAGAAGACTACATGTGAGAGCCTACTTCGCCCCTGAAGCATCCATTACCTGGTACCTCGAGCACGTGAGGACTTAATAAATAACATGTCATTCCATGGTGCTAGGGACGGACGCTTCTGACCCACGGCCCAGAGCCACCTTTGGCTGTCTACACCCAACAGTGGAGCAGCAAGTGCCCTGGATATGGAGTTAGGAGGCTGAACCAAATCCTGGCTCTCTCACTTGCCAATTGTATGACTGCAGCCCTTTAACCTGTCTGAGCCTTAATTGTCTGATCCTTAAAAAGAATAATAGGGGCCGGCCTGGTGGCGTAGTGGTTAAGTTCATGCGCTTTGCTTCGGCAGCCTGGGGTTTCCCGGGCTTGGATCCCGGGTGTGGACCTATGCACCACTTATCAAACCACGCTGTGGCAGGCGTCGCACATAAAAAGTAGAGGAAGATGGGCACGGATGTTAGCCCAGGGTCAATCTTCCTCAGCAAAAAGAGGAGGATTGACAACAGATGTTAGCTCAGGGCTAATCTTCCTCACCAAAAAAAAAAAAAAAAAAATAGAACAATAAATGCCTTCCAGGACTGTGAACAATTTCTAACATTTGTTGAGTTTTTCATTATGCTAAGTGCCTAACATGTATCATCTCATGAAATCTTCATGACAATATGATGAAGTAGATGCCATGACTGTTCCCATTTTGCAGGGATGGAAAATAAATCGTAGAGAGAGTAGATAATTTTTACAAGTTCACACAACTAAAATGTGCAAAGCCAGAATTCTGAGGCTTGCTGGACTCTGAAGCCCTTGCCCTACTCCCTCTGCTCTGCTGCTGACCCCACAATGCTGCCTGGGGGGCAGATAGGTAACACGACCTCCAAGTACACACAAGGTACTGTTACACACAGTGTAAGATTTAGTCCTTGTCCTCAAGCCTAGTTCAAAATATGCTTTTCTACACAGCCCTGAAGGTCAACAAAGTAGGATGTGATTAGAAAGAAACGGTGGAGAAAGAGAACTTTAAAATTAACTTCCCTAGTTTTGGTCCCTTACAACGGTGTATGATAATCTGGAAAGAGCACTAGGTTAGGAACAGGAGACCTGTTCTGCCCTGTGCGTACCTCCGACTTGGGGCGCATCATTTAAGCTGAGTTTATACGTCTGCTAGGGGTCCTAATAAATGAGCTCCACAGGGTCTTCTTGACTATCCCCAAATTCCAATCTGAAAACACTCCGCAATCTCCCTGCTCTTTGGGCAGAGCCCTGAAGAGAGGCGTGAGGATAGGAGGTACTGCTCAGGTCAGCTGGGGCTTACTCAAACAACGCCGTGTGGGGGCAACAGGGAGGGTGGATGGGGACTCCACAGGACCTCTGGTGGGCTGGGCCAGTAATTATAAGGAAACATTGCAGAGAAAGTTTCTGTTGTGGCTGTTCCCTCTGTTTACTTTGGGTAGTTCTGTCATTTTTTAACTGACCCTTCCCAGATGAGATCGTCAGTTTTCAGCTGGGTAAAGTCGGAGCCTTGCAACTGATGGGGTGTTTGAATCCTCTGCTGCTCTGTTGTTGGAGGGAGGCCAGGGCAGCTGACCCCCCCCCTTCAGGGAAGTGAAGCCAGGGCTGCAAACTTGCTGACAGTGGCCCGCGGCCTGCAAATCCAAACATCCTCCTCTCCTCCGCCTTGGTGTAGCAATGCGAAGAAAACAAAGCCACGAGCTTTCCAGAGCAGGGAAAGGCTCCAGCAATTCCCTTCCAGCATTCCCTCCTCCCTCTGGCTCACAGCCATGTGGGCACAAGGTTATAGTTACAGATGAGAACTGCTGATGTCTACTTTTTGGTTGTTGCTTAAAAAAAAAAAACCACACATACACTTTTCTTGATGGCTTAAAGCTTCACATAGCTGATTCAGACCCGAAGGTGTATATTTGCTTTGCTTTGCTTGTCATGTTTTCTTAAGTTTGAACAATACGAATGTGGCTGTTTAAGAGTCAGAGAGAAGGAAAACTCATTTGCTTAGTACTTTTCCTAAATTTTCCAGTTTCTTTTGGCCTCAGAAAACCAAAGAATAGAGTCTTTTATGCCTAAGATTAGAAACATCTGGCCATCACATTTGAGTAAGGCTTGCCTGAAGTGGGGCAAAGCCAGGTGGAATGGCCTGCCTATCTGAATTATGGAATTTTAAGCATTGATGGGACTAAAAGTTACTAAATTCAACCTCTTCATTTTACAGCTAAGGAAGCAGGCCCAGAGAGGTTAGGACTTGCTTGATGTCACACATCTTGTAAGTGTCGGAGGTGAAGCCAGGAGCCAGGAGATAACAGGGAGAAGCTGACTCCCAGGCTACCACTCTTTGCATACACCCATGCGTAGGGAGGACTAGATTGTTGAAAAAATAGAATATTTATGAATATTCTTAATCCCTCATTTGACACACCCAACTATTTCTACTTTTGCATACTTTGGCCAGTTTTTATCCACTGGCTGTAGATTCTTCCTCAGCAGAGGAGAGGGATTTAATGTCCAGAGAGCACCAGCTGTGTGCCAGGAGTTCATCACATTTTCTCATTGAATTTTCACAACAGGCCTATGAGGGAGGCATGATTATGCCTGTTTCACAGAGGATGAAACGGAGAGGTTAGGCACACTTGCCCAAGGCCACACAACTAGAAAGCAGTGGAGTGAGGATTTGAATCCAGATCTCTCCAATTCTGCAGCTCCCAGACTTCACTGCACCACACTGCGTGCACAGCCACTGTGCATGTCACAGTTTATATCTTTATACTTTCCCACTTTCAAAATTATGACCTAGTTTTCATAATTATTACTTTTATGAATGTATTCATTCATTCAACAAATATTAAACAGCTACTCTGTGCCAGGCACAGTCAGGACACTGAGGATACAGTAGTGAGCAACATACATAAATCCCTGCTCTCACAGAGCCCAGGTTCTACCAGAGAGAATCAGACAATAACACAAATCACTATGTCAGATAAAACGGTAAGTGCAACAGGAGGAATAAAGGAGAAAGGGGAGAGGAAATGCTGGCATGGGGTCGGGGGAAGACAGCAATTTTAAATAGAATGCTCAGGGAAAGAAAGTTTTCTCTGTGACATTGGAGCAGAGATCTGAAGGTGGTGAGGGAACAAGCCAAACGGATATCTGGGCGAAGAGGCAAGAGTGAATTCGAAGACATTGAGGCAGGAGGCCTGATGTGTTCAAGAAAGTTAGGGGGCCGGCCCGGTGGCGGAACAGTTAAGTTTGCATGTTCCACTTTGGCGGCCCGGATCCTGGGCATGACCCTACTCACTGCTCATCAAGCCATGATGAGGTGGCGTCCCACATAGCAGAGCTATAACTCTACGACTATGATACACAACTATGTACTGGGGCTTTGGGGAGAAAAGAGGAAAAAGAGGAAGATTGGCAACAGATGTTAGCACACGGCCAATCTTCCTGGAAAAAAAAAGAAAAAAGAAACAGTTAGGAGGCCTGTATGGCCAGAGTGGAGTGTGCAAGAGGCAAAGTAATATCAGATGAGGCCAGAGAGTAATGGGGCCCAGATGAGGGAGGGCTTGTGAACAACAATAGACATTGGCTTTTATACTAAATGAGAGGGGAGCTGTGGAAGCTTGTGAGAAGAGGGTTGACACGTTTAAGTTTTCTAAAGAGTTCCTCTGACTACTGTGTTGAGAGTAGACTATGGGGTGGGGAACAAGGGTGAAAGCAGAAAGACCGATTGGGAGGCCATTGCAATAATTCAGGTGAGAGATGATGTGACTTGGATGCGGGGTAGTAGAGAATGCAGTGAAAAGTGATGCAATTCAGGGTATGTTTTGACAGTGGAACCAGTATGATCATCTACCATCCTTACATGCCATGATGTCATAAAACATTCATTTTAGAGATTTAGGTTGTTCCAGCTGATGCTATTGTAGATAACATTCTCATTTACATTGCCACTCAGACTTTTTCCATGTCTTATTTCCTCAGGATAAACTATTAGGAGTTAGATTACTGAGTCAAAGGTGTGATCATCCTTATGCCTCTTGCTACATATTGTCATATTCCATAGTAGGCTCCACCAGAAGTACCTTAAAGATCTCTCATTTTAAATGCTCCAGAATTCCTCTCCTACCCTCAATATCTCTAACCCACTCTCCCACTATGGTTTTCCTCTTTTTCTCCCTCTCCTCCCTCTCCTTTTGGGGAACTTGTAAAGGGGAAGGGTAACAAAGATGGACAAAGGTTAGGGCTGGCGCCAGAGAGAGGTCAGAAAAGACAGGGAGGCATTTCTTCATTTTTTTCTTGTCTTACAGCCCTGAGAAAGGGCCAGCTGCTTCCCTTAGATGAGAATCTTCTTCCCTAAGAATCAGCAAACTAACAATACTGCTTACTTAGAGACCTTTTTTTCTTCTGGGGAGATCAATGGACTTACCAATTTCAATTATCTTTCACAATGTCCCCTGGTGCTAGATCAAACTGCCTCCTCTGAACAAACATGCCTCTCACCAGGGTGGGAAGTTTACCAAACTTTTTGGCTCCCCTATTCCCCTCCTTCATAAGTTCAGTCCCCCTTCAAAGGACCCTCCTGCTTTCCACAACTCCAAAGTGCACTTGCTCAGTCCTCTAATTTCACCCTAAGTATGGAAGAAAATGTTTTAATCATTTATTAAAAGTGGGGGCTTTCTGGGGGCTGGCCCGGTGGCACAAGCAGTTAAGTGCATGCTCTCCGCTGCGGCGGCCCGGGGTTCGCCGGTTCGGATCCCGGGCGCGCACCGACGCACCGCTTGTCAAGCCATGCTGTGGCAGCGTCCCATATAAAGTAGAGGAAGACGGGCATGAATGTTAGCCCAGGGCCAGTCTTCCTCAAGCAAAAAGAGGAGGATTGGCAGATGTTAGCTCAGGGCGGATCTTCCTCACAAAAAAAAAAAAAAAAAAAAAGTGGGGGCTTTCTTATGAATTTTAGGATCAGTTTGTCAATTTCTGCTGATCCTAAAATTCATATGGAAATGCAAAGGACTCAGAATAGCCAGATGATCTTGAAAAAGAACAAAGTTAGTGGACTCATGCTTACCGGTTTCAAAGCTTACTGAAAAACAACAGTAATCAAGACAGTGTGGTACTGGAATAGGGATAGACATATAGATTGATGGGAAAAAAATTAAGAATCCACAAATAAACCCTAACAGTTACAGTCAATTGATTTTTGACCCAGAGGCTAAGATAATTCAATAGGGAAAGAATAGTCTTTTCAACCAATAGTGCTGGAGCAACTGAATATCCACATGCAAAAGAATTAATTTGGACCTCTACCAAATATCATACACAAAAATTAACTCAAAATGGATCATAGACCTAAACGTAGGAGCTAAAACTATAAGACTTTTAGAAGAAAACATGGAATAAGTCTTTGTAACCTTGGGTTAGGCAATGATTTCTTGATATAACACCAAAAGCACAAGTGATTAAAGAGAATATTGATAAGTTAAACATCATGAAATTTAAGAACTTTTGTGTTCCAAAGGACACCATGAAGAAAGTGAAAGGACAACCCATAGAATGAGAGAAAATATTTGTAAATCATGAATCTGATAAGGGGCTTGTATACAGAATATTAAAAACTCTTACAATTAAATAATTAAAAAAACAAATAACCCAATTTAAAAATGGGCAATTACAATAGATTTTTTTTAAAGAAAATATACAAATGGCTAATAAGCACATGGAAAGTCATTAGGGAAATGCAAATCAAAATCACAATGAGATACCACTTCTCACCACTAGAATGCCTATAACAAAAAGACAGATAATTTTTGGCGAGGATATGTAGAAATTGGAACCCTCATACACTGCTGATGGAAAAACAAAATGGTGCAGCCACTTTGGAAAACCATTTGGCAGTCCCTCTTAATGCTAACAATAGAGTTACCCTATTGGTGACCTAGCAATTCCAATCCTAAGTATTTACCCAAGACAAATAAAAACAT